ACTCCTTTACGATTGGTGTTAATAAATCACAAATAAATACGCTATCGAAGAATTAATCTCTTTTATTTTCTATCGTATCAACCGGTTAAAAAGGCTTATTTCATCAAATTAAAACATGAATTTATCGAACATAGCTAAACATCTTCTCTATTTGGCTAAAAATGAATATGGACCTGGAAATTCTGTAACAACTACCGATGAAATTTTTACTGCTGAACGATTATTCGAAGTTTTGAAGTCATTTAAAAACAGCTACTTCAATGAGCTCTATACTTATGATACTCTCGAATTTAACGATGAATATGATGAAGTGACTGATGAAGAAGAGAGTGATGATAAAATTGATGATTACAGTGAGAATGAAGATTCCGACATAAGAAATTGTTTTACATTAGAAGAAATGGAAAATATAATCGAATGGGTTGACCAACATCCGAATGTAGGAATTGCATCTATTTCACATCGATTCAGAAAGGTCAAATACATGTATTATATTGCAAGGTTTAGACAATATATCGAAAACAACGGCACAAGATTAGAAAAAGTAAAACAAATTAAAGAATTTATGTTTAATCAATTTTATCTGAAAAGAGCAATTGAAAAAGAAGCCATTCATGATGATGATCTTGAACTTTATGCAATTCAAAAAGCAAGAGAATTAGATTGGGATACATTCAAGGCAAGCAAATCGTTTATCAATGATTTTAAAAGAGAAAACGGAATATCATCAAGAAGATATAACAAAATCATTACTCGAACAAAATCAAACAGAAAAATATGCAGTTTACATGGTATGTGATTTTTTGTTTGGTCTTTAAATACATTCTGAATGTAATATGTATATTTTAGATGCTCAAAATTGGATTGAAAATAAAAGGAACTTAATATCAAAATATCCTTTTTACCAAATTTTAAACAGTGATCACTGTTCATTTCAGCAAGAATATATTCCATCAAGAACACTTTCTTTTACTGGTGAAAGAACAACAGAAGTGGCTGTTAAAAAGAAATACAATACAACACATTCTTATACAGTCCAACCTGTTACATCAGCTGACGGTCATTTATTGGACAAGTTCTTACTTATTCTTCAAGAAAAAGAAAATACATTTGGTAAAAATGTGCAAAAAAAATTTATCGTACCACCAAACATTGTAGTTAAAGCTTCAAAATCAGGAAAAAGCAGTGATGAAAAACATCATGCTTTTTTAAATGAAGTTTTACGTCCTTTGGTTGGTAAAAAATTTCTTCTTTTCCTTGATTCTTGGAAAACTCAAGCTGATCTAACAAAATTTAGAGCAGTATTTCCTAATCAAGACAGTCAATTATTGATTTTTCCTGAAGGATCAACGGGTTATATTCAACCACAGGATCTTTCTTTATTTCGTTCATGGCGATTTATTCATGAAAAAATCGAACATTATGTTCATATTAATCAAGTAGATATGACCATAAGTGATCGTCAATATTTCATCAACATACATTCTATTATTCACAATCAGTTATCAGCTCCACAATTCAAAAATCTCATTAAGAATGGATTTATACAAGCCCAAATAATAAAGGAAACAATTGGACAGATTGAGAAGCCAAAAGATGTTTGCTTCAAGTTTTACGATCTATATTGTTCAACTAACAATTGCAATGAAAGAACGCTATTAATGTGTGCCTGGTGCAGAAAAGCTCTTTGCTACTATCACTTGATTGAAGATCTACATGTGCACTTATAACACATTTGTTAAAATAGTATATTAAATAGTATGTTGGGTTCAGTTGAAATAAAATTCCAATTATTGGTGAGTTAAACGTTTCTATCGCTACCAGCTGATATTCATATACAATGTTTCGATCCTACTTGACTTATAGAAGATATGAAAATTAATGTGATATTAATGATATTGATAAAATTCAGGAAAATTCTTGTTGTCTACTATTGAAATACTCAATTCATGGCATGAAAAACTAATGTAAATAATTCATAATGTTCCTATATACCCAAATTTTGAGTAACGTAAAAATCGAATATCTCTCTCTAGAGACACCATGGGCAGCTAATATTTTAACCTTGTTAGTTTGACAATAAGAGCTTTCATTTGACACAGATATGTGCCATCTTTTCGCTTATCATCTCACACACCTCCATTGTAAGCTAAACTCCGTTAAGTATAATACATTTGGAACTGCTGCATGAATTGTTTCAAATTGAGTTGGTTCAATCAAACTGGAAATTAATTTAAATGAGGGACTCAATAAAAATATTTCACAATAAAAAACACGATTAAGCATATATCCGGTAAGATTGATTGTCTGGATTTCAACAGCAAATATCGATTAAATTTTATGATTTAAAAAAATCTATTCTAATCCAGCTCTTAGCCTTTTTTTTGCATGGGCTCTATATGTTCGTCATGCACACCTCGATGTATCACTTGAAGTAGGCTGTACCGGTTTCTTTTATTGGTTTGGAACAAAATTAGAATTAGCCGGTGTTTTGTCTATTTTATATTAGTTCAGAATCAAGTTAAAATTGATCAGTAGGTCCTTTTCTAAAATTTCAGCTGAAAATAATGCTGATCCTTTAAGGTCTGTTTCCTAGAATCTTGTTTTTACTAATAGAAAATTTCCCAGATCTATCGATTCGCACAAGTTCTAGTATTTTTTTCATTCTTCTGTTGGTGGATTTGTCAAATTCAAGTATCACTAACGCCAATGAACAAATAAAAGAAAGGGAGAAAATCTGACGTATAATTAAAGATATAAGCCCCCCCCCCCCCAACGAGACCCCCGCTGCCGTTGAGAGCTTTGAAAAATAAGCCGCCGTCACTACGGAATCGCAAAAAATTTCAAGAATTTTTCAGCCGACGCCGCTGTGAAAAATCCAGTTAAGCTATTGTGCCGCTGGCACGAACGAAAGTGTCTGATAATAATATATTCTGCCGCTACTGACATCAATACATATGCGATCGATCATTTTTCCGTCTTTCAAGAGCAAAAAGCTTGTTAGCGCAGCTCCTTTGGAGCTGAAATGTGGAACTCACGTATATCCTTCAAACTTGTTATCCTAATGCATCATTTGTAAACTGAAAAATAGTTTTTTTTTAAATAATTATGAAAACATTGAAATATTGTACAGAATCTGAAGCCTTGTATGCGCGGTTGCTGAGGTCTGTAATGGTGGCCTGTTTGTAAGAGGAGAGGTGGTGCTCTAAGGAGGACCTACGTTGCTATGTGTCTGTGATGGGGAGAAGAGAGAAGATAGCCACAAAAACTTCAACTTAAAACTTACACTCACTACTTTCTCCAAAAATATAAGAGAGTTCCACAAAATTTACTTTTTTTTTGGTGAACACTAAGCCGCCGCCATCTCTACAGAAGAATAATATTTCCAGTAACCGTCACTGAGGCGAAAAAAGAATTCAACGATTGAAGCCACCGCTGTTTAGCCCTTCGGTTTACATCTCGACTTCCAATCTTATATCGTATAAGATATTTTTGAATTTTTAAAATTAGACTTTTTCTAAACTGAAGAAAGCATTGCACTCACGTTTCTTTCGAAATCTCAAGTATGATTTTCCTTCGATGGATATTTTGCTAGAGATGGGTACAAGTTTCAAAAGAAACTTGTCAAGACGTGAAGATGACAGAAATGACATAATCTTTCTGATTTGTGTTGAGAGAAATATATAACAACAAAGCATACCGTCAGTGTTAGTCGAGGAGTTGCTGGTAGATCTTGATCCCAAAACACCGCTGAGAATGGCTGCCAATACGACCACAACCATCAGGAAGCTGATTGAAATAAAGAATCTCTTTTTCTTATACCAATTACGTTTTGAAGTGGTTGTCGAAATTTTTGGATAAAGACATGCATCTAAATATATATATATTTTAATTCAAAACAAAAAATTGTTAAAGTTGAAAAGACCTTCAAATGGAGGTTCAAGTAATATTTCCTTCGGTATCTTTTGTTTTAAATGAATGACATGGAGATTAGATGCAGGATTAAATTGTGATTGCACTTCCATGCATGTTCCGGGTAACAATAAAATTTCATCTTCAGTGTCAAAATCAGAATGAGCAGATATGCTTCTGCCGTTAAACGCTTCTATAGAAAAGAGAGTTCTCTCACCCGTGTCCCCTAAATAGAGATTGTTTTCTAACGCAGGAAGCGATGTTGTGCACGATGAAAAAGCCCACCATATCACTTGACTTCCAGGTGGATATTCATCACTAATATTTTTTCGCACTCCACGCCAGATGGTGTGCCGAGGTGCATATTGGATTTTGGCTAAAGCAGTAAGAAAAAGTTTGAGGTAACTAAACCATGGTTGTAAATCTTCGCGATCGGCTGTCGTAAGAGTTTTGTTAAGAGTGGAACAGAGACTACTGTATTCGTCAGCCCACTCCATCGTGTAGAGACGAATCGAAGCTGATTCATCGCGACTTAGACCATCGGCTGGATTATCTGGAGTATTTTCCAGAGCTACTGTAACATAGTGTAATATATGATGGACAACTAGAATCAACGGTTCACATGCTTTATCGAGTGGAAGAAGTGGCTCTTGAGCATAGCCGATAATAGGAGCCAATGTTTTTGAAGGACCTAATGTTTTTGAAGGATCTAATGTTTTTGAAGGGCCTAATATTTTTGAAGGGCCTAATGTTTTTGAAGGACCTAATGTTTTCGAAGGACCTAATGTTCTTGAATCTTCTGAATCTGGAATCAGTAGCCGAGGGTTTATACGTTCAATCTGGATATCTTCGTTGTCACCCATCCTCTGAAAATATGGTTTTGTTGTCAAATATTCGGATGTATTAGTTATTCTGCAGATATTTTTGTTATCTGAAACAAAAAGAAGATTGACGAAAGCAGAATTTAATACTTAGTCAGAAATTGTTCTTGTAGTATATCTGAGATCTGAAACTCACGTACCTCTTTCAGCTTCATTAAACTAATAGAAAATACCCACAGTAAAGAAACTGTAATTAATGATAGTTGCTCTTTCCAGGTATAAAAAAACGATAAAATGCTTTATCTTATGTATTGCCATATTTCGAATAGATCTTTTCATTTTTTTTGTCGGCGTTCTAACTGTTATTGGGTCAAAATAGTAAGCTCAACACGTAAACGCTAAATTTCTAGATTATTTACACATCCACATTTTATCAATCATTTCAAACTCATGTTTGGGTGTGGCTGTGGGTTGATGTGGAAGTGGATGTGTCTGATTGTGGATGTCGGTTCTCTCTTCATTGACACCTACGCCCACACCCACACCCAAATGCGATCGTTGCTTTACAGATTTTGAGGAACATCCTTAGTTGCTGACTGTAAACGCCGTCGAAGCTCCAACTTTAGCATTAGTGCATCTTTTACGATGAACAAGACTTGAATTAGATGAGTTTATTAATAAATAAAATATTTTTAGATATGAGTTTATATGATGGGAAGCGCCCTTTTATGGGTGTGGGTGCAGCTATGACCATCGGAAAAAAGGACAAAAAAAAAGAACGAACAAGAATGCGTTCTTCAAATAATAAAACACGTTTGCAAGACACTTTTAGCGTCTTTTTAAAGCGCGTTTTCGTTATGAAGGACCACTCTCTTTTAGAAAAAAAAGAATGTGTTCTGATATGTTAAGAACGTAGTATTAGTGAAACAGTTCTTCAGTGATAAATCGCGTTCCAGAAGAACACTAAAAGCGTCTTCACAACGCGTTCAATGAGAACACGTTATGCTTTTGAAGCAAAAAAAGTAGTTTCTATTCAAGTCTATGACGATCTTGAACGCATTTCTACATTATTCGTGTACGTTCTCAGAGAACTGGTTCTTTTCTCACTGTACTTTCACTCTTACTGAACGCGTCCGAACTTGTTTATTAAGTACCATGGAATAGATTCGACCAGATGAACTTGTAATAACAAAGCTATGAATATATCATTGAACTAAAATTACGTATTTCTGAACTACTGAATTTTCTACTTGTATTAAACGGAACTTTAGTCTATTCTGTCTTTAATATGAAATTTGTACTAAGGGTGATCAGCTTATATTTACAAAACTTCAGTAAATCCAAAAATTAATTTAAAGAAATTTCAATTTTCAAGATTAAAATTTATTTTCGATTAATATTTTTGAAAATGAAATAATTTTAAATTTAAACACTGTAAATTTAATTTTATATCACATTTAACTTGTGAAAATTTTTAAACATTTTATACCAGTTATTCCAATCGAACTTGAATTGATAAAACATTTTAAAGTAGTCCGAATTCAATTTACATTCATTTACAATAATTTATATGGGATTTAAATCCTAATAAATAGATTTATATTAAACTTAGACTTGTTTTAGCTAGATTTTAGTAATTTTATAAGTTACTAAGAACTTTTACAATGTAAGTTTAAAATAAATTTAAATCTACAAAATTTTAATTAAATATGAGCTAGAAAGCCGGCATGGTTGAGTGGCTACGTTCTTCGACACGTACCCACAAGGTACTGCGTTCAAACCTCAGCAGCACTATCCATGGAATGACCCTGAACTCGTCACTAACGGCTAGTTGTTTCGAATGACTTATTCGATGACGCGTTGATTACATCACTGGTCAATATGCAGAGTAAAACCACAACCTCAAGATAGATGTCACCACCTTGTGATTCACATGTTGACCACCAACCCTAAGTTCATAAACGGAGGAAGCGTTGGACGGAAGGGGTGCAGATACCGCCGTCCGTAAAAAGAAAAAGACGAAAGAACTTGGCTGCTTATGTGAACTCTTTAGCGCCGGTTCCAACGGGCGATAAGCCTATGGGAGATATGGGTGAGTGTGGGTGTGGATGTGGATGTGGATGTAGGTGTTGATCGTCTCTTCAGCCACACCCACACCCACACCCCGACATTTTTCATCAAAAAGATAGGTAATAGCTCATTTTTGCATATTGATATGAGAAAATGAATCATAGATTCAGATTCCTCGTGAAAAACTGCATCAGAATCGTTAGAAATTTGGAATACTTTTGAATATATAATCCCACCCTCCAAATACATCTTGGTTTTCTAGCGGTGTTTTTTGATAGACTTTGTTTCTTGTTTTCGTCATATAAACAAGCAGTAAATTCTAGATAAAGGCATAAAACTAGATGAAAAGTATTCCAAATTTCTAACGATTCTGATGCAGTTTTTCACGAGGAATCCGAATATGTAATTGGTTTTAAAATTTGAGCGCGTAATAATGCACTATCATTGACCTTTTGATAAAAGTATGACAGAAATTTATCACGAAATCGTGCCCAAAAACACAAAAGGTATCAACAGTATTTGACATGTATCTTTATGAAAATAGACTCTAATCTTAAACATTTTATTACCAAAATGATCAGCTCAAAAAGCGCCACAAATTCTGAAAGTTTCACTGGATTTGGACATGGTCACCGGATAGTCTGGCGATTTCCCATGGATATACTCATACATAAAAAAATCTAAAAATCTCTATACCGTCTAGTGTTTCCATCTGTGTAAAGAGCTATAAAAGTTCAAATAAGAGTGAATAATTATGAAGTTTCTCTCCTGCTAGCGCCATGTTCTTACTTGAAGCCCAGAACTTCTTTCATCTAGACTCAAATCTATCTGAAATACTCAATTGTATGAGTTATTTCAGTCTCTAGGAACCTGCAATTTTGATATCTTGTACTCACACTTTAAAATAGTTTCAAGCACTATCACAGTGTATAAGAACATTCAAAAACCTATTTGTTGCGTTGTTAAAAGTATTCGTTCTAAATCGCAAGCATATCTTTCACAAAATACTAACTAATCTAGAGATGGTCTTTTAGTATCACTTTAGAAAATAAAGATAAGTAAATCATTTATTTAAAAAAAAACTAGAAATAAAGTAATGAGATAAAGGATTTTTTATGAGAGATTAGGCAATGGAACGACATCTAAGATCAAATGAATTGAATCTTAACTATTTTGCTCTACTTGATTTTGTACTTTCTCATGACTCATATCTTCCACACCTGAGGTTCCTCTTAAGTTTTGAGAAAATTTTTTAATCCTCATTCTACTAGAATTCTTCATAATTCGATAGCACTCAGTATGCTGATAACAAATATCACATTTTTATTCCAAAGTACTCAGATAATAAGAAACATCTGAAGCACTCTCTGGAAACCTTAAAAACCAGTTTTTTACCTCAACGTCCATTAAAACTTGAATCAGATTCGCCGAAAACAGGTTAATTTGACGCAGAATTATTTTTCTTTAGTCAGAACCTATGAGAATATTTTAGAAATTGAAGAGACTATGTATCAATAAATACCGAATGTTGCCTCAATGAGTCATATTCACAATTCGCTTGTTGGCCACGATTCCAGCTATATCGTGGCTAACATATGTTCGTTCATTTGTTTTTTTTTCATTTCGATTGTTAATTGATTGTTCAACAATCACGTCACTATCGCCTTCTTCTCTTTTATCTTTTTTTCTTTGATCTTTTCTTCTACTCTCTTCCTGACGAAGATGATCATTTCTGTTGTTTGGAATATCATATATGTGTGATTAAATAGTCACTCCATCAAGCAGTGAAGAATAAAAGAAAACTCAAATCCTCCAGAAAGTGTCTTTCTATGCTAAATACATTTCGAAGTTTTGCCTGGACGAATAAAGCAATCATTATACACAAACAAAAGTTTATTGAAACAAAATAATTTTGTGCTACAAAAAACTGTTGGAGTTGCACAAAAACACTCGTCAGAACTTTTTTAGGATCTCACGCAGGAAAAGTTGGTGTAAAAAGACGTAAGTTTCGTTTTTTATCACTACTTGATGAAGTGACTGTTGCACGGATATGATTTTCCAATCAATAGAAATGATTATCTTTGTGAGGAAGAGACTAGAAGAGAAGATAAAAGAAAAAAAGATAAAAGAGAAGAAGGCGATAGTGACGTGACTGTTGAATAATCAACTAACAATCGAAAAGAAAAAAAAGACAAATGAATGAATATATGTTGGCCACGATATAGCTGGAATCGTGGCCAACAAACGAATTGTGAATATCGCTCATTGACACGTATTCGTACAGAGAATAATTTTTCGCATTTTACTAATCTATACTTACTTCAAGTGAAACATGGAGTTTGTTTTTATCAAATATATGATTCAATGTGCACTTTCTCACGAAATCATTTTCAGCTTCAAACTCGATGCCTAGTACCACACTTTTGCGCTAATCACTTTCCTCGATAGTCAATTCACGTCCTTTTCTGTTATTATTCGACTCTTTTTGAGTACAATACACCTTTTTTGACTTCAGACGAACATCATATTCGAAATCATCAAGAAAAACTAAGTTAAGTTATACATGATTAATATTGCATCAATGAGTTTTCTTTTTTCGATCGCATTCAGACTTTCATTTCCATCAAAGATATACAGCAAATTGGATTTCACCAAAATAACTATTCATATATCTAGATACCTTGGATTATATCTCAAGAAGCCATTTTACAATTTCAGAACTATGTTTACAGCGGTTGTATTCTTTTTTGGATACATTCCCAATGGAAATGACAAGTAGAAATTTCAATGAAGAAGACTTCCTGAAACAATTTTAAACATATGTAAGTTAACTCAGTTTTCCTTAATGGTTCCGAATATATGATTCATCTGAAGTTAAAAGAAGTTTGTTGTACTCCAAAATCGTTGAGTATTAGTCAAAAAAAGACTTGAATTGACTATCAAGGAAAATGTTTAGAGCAAAACTATTTTAT